AAAGATCACTGAACTGTGGTTAAGGCTTTGCTCAGAAAAGGTGATACTGTGCAACCATTGATCTCTCCAACTTAATTTTATGTTTGTCAGAAAATTACTGTAGTGTGATACTGAGATAGTCAGTTTTGACTAATATTTATTTGGGAAACAACAGGCAGCAAATGCTGTAAAGGCTAAATTTGTGTTTAACAGAAAAACTATTAGCTGTGCAGTAGAAGTGTCATGTTAATATATCTTCCAGGATCAGGTATTTTTCCACTAAAACATTTTAATTGAATCATGTGAGTAGTGCTAATTAGACTGTGACAATAGTTTTAAACTTGGTGTGTTTCCAAAAAGTCAGGATCAACCTTTTGTGCAATCTGGGTGTACTGTTATCTCTGTTCTGTTAGGATTAATCATGAAGAAATGGAATTTGTTCTTGCAACCTCAGTATAGACAAAAGAGCCTTGGAGAAGCTGCTGTTGGCACTGTTCAAAATGTTTTGATGAAGGACAGGGCCTTAAGGCTTGTGAACTAGAGCTGTGTGTCAAAATTAATTTAAAATTGGTGAGAAGCAATTTAAATATCAGTTGGGCTGCGTGCCACTGGAATGGGAATGCTTAACAGCAAGTCATGGAAAAAATCTGGTAGGTTCCTTTTTCAAGGGGCTGGAAATCCATCCAGCATTCCAAACCTCCTGTCCTTGGGATCTGTGTGAAACTTGTATGTGTCTCTTGGAATGCTCTGTATTTACTGCCCCCGTGGGGGTGGCACTTGTTATGTGGGTTTTCTTCTTGGAAATGTTACACAGGGTTGTCTGTTACACGAAAGTGTTGCAAATTTATACTTAGGCGTATTTTTACTGAAATGCCACATAAAATTTTGTATTTATGACCTGTGTGGAGTCATTTTCATTTCCTCAGTGCAGAGTTGGCTCATCTGTGTTGTTAACAAAAGGTTGTGTTGTTTTGTTTTTTTTAAATAATGCTGATCATCCAATTAATCATAGAGGTTGTGATTTGTGAAGAGTCCATAAATTCTTTAAAAGGAACCTGGACATCAATGTATTGTTTCCTTTTGGAGGGTTTCCCTGCAAAGGTTCAGAATGGAGCTGGGCAGAACAACCTAACTGAACCCTTAAAGGTTTCACCTCCACCTGAGGTAGTTCCTTCCCCTCCCTGAGAAATCCCCTAACTCTGCCAAAGCTGTGCTGACTCCCTCTGGGATTTGGAGACCAGCAAGAAATGTACAGCCCCAAATGAGCCATCCTGAAGTGGTGGTTCACATTCCAGGCAGTGCTGCAGGAACAGGCTGCAGAGGCAGCTGTGCAGAGGGAGAAGGGACAGCCAGGAACCATCCCTGTGACCTCCTTGGACAGTGGGGGCAGCTGCTGGATCTGGCACCTGGATTCCTTCTGCTCCAGGTGAGTTACCTGAGAACAGAGCAGTTGCAGGGCCTGGGCTGTTTGCCACTCACTTTGCTTTTCTTCTTTTCCACTGTGTTCATTTCTGGATGCAAAGTGGAAGTTGGAATGGTATCAAATGAAGCCTTGGGAGCATTTTGTTTGCTGTCTCATCAGCTCCTTCTTGTTCTCTTCTGTGACGTGAGAATATGAAATTTTCTCCATGAAAACATCACGTGGAATATTACTACAGGCAAAATGGAATCAGGTTTTGATCAGGTTCAAGCAACCGGACAAATCCAAGCTTTAGTTTTGTAGAGGAAATACTGAGGAGAACTGAAGTGGTAGAAAAGCTTGATTTTTCTATCTGGAACTGGACCCAGTGGTAAGTCCCATCTCTGGGAATGCAGCTGCCCAGTAGTGTGTGCTGTCATTCCCTTCTGGGGATAAGTTGTGTTTCACTCCAGTGAGTACTGTGGTGATGACTTATTTTTAACCAAACATCTTCATTCCTCTCCCATTAGAAAAAACACCTAAAACTCTCTGCTTTTACTTTCACTTCATCTTTCCTGAGGAGAAAGGAAAGCTCCGTATTTAAACATAGAGGGAACAAATGGGGATGTAGTTATCCTAATATTCTCATTTAAATTTCCATTTTACATGGAAAGGCTGTTTTTTGTGGCTCATTAGAATTACTTGGGCTCTGCTGGTACTTCAGACTTTTACATCTGTTAATCTGGATTCCAGGGGAGTGTGGGAGCTGAACCTGCACACCATGGATTTTCCTGGCACAGGCTGGGCCCGTGCCTCACGTGCTTGCAGAGGATGCAGAAAGAGAAGTGGCCATTCCAAGTGTCAGTCACACATCAGGAAATGACAAGATCACCTTGATAAAGGACACTTTTTACGTCTTTGTTGCTGTGGTTGTGGGGACAAGAGTAACACTGGGACCTTCTTTGTAAATCTGCCCTGGATTGGTTTCATTGTGCTCAGAACCATCCAGCTCCTCCCAGGAGAATCGGTCCTCTGCTCAGTGCTCCACTCTTCTGCCATCCCAGCAGGCTCCAGACTTCCCAGCTCACTTCCCAAAATAGACATCCAGGGGTCTGTTCCAGCCACGTGCTGCATGGCCAAGGAGCTGTCCTCATCCCTGCAGCATCTCTTGGCTTGGACTCCCACAGTGGAGTTGCCAGATGGCTGCTGGGGTAAAAACTCCGCCAATATTTTCTGTTGGTTCTCCTGGCTGGCTTGGAGGGGGCAAAACAAATTGGTTCAGCTTTGACTGATGTGAGATGCTGTCCAAAAACCCTCTAGAAAACGAGTGTTTTATGACTTCATTTGGAGAAATTGTTTGTGGGGAATTCAGAAGCCAGAATAACTGTTTTACTTATGTAAGGTACTTGATAAAACAGCTTTGCACAACAGTCTTGAGAAATGGGCAATGGCTTGTACACTAAAATATTTGAATTCTATGCTGCAGTTAACTTCTTCAGTTAATCTTTACTGCAGTTAACTGAAGTGAGAAAGTCCCAGCTGGGTCATCTTTCCCCTGCAGAGGTTTTTGTGTGCTGACAGGAGACTGTGGATGTTGTCTCTCTGATCCTGCAGAAGGACACAGGCCCAGACTGGAATGCTGTGCAGAAGTCTCCCTTTCTAGCAAGTCACAGCCATCAGGACAAGCACATTGTGGTTTTGCTCTTAGGTCTTTAATTCTTTTTGGCTTTTGCAAGTAGTGCTTTCTAAGCCACAAGTTGTGAAGTAAGCCTCTGTGGGGTTTTTCCTCCAGAATTTGTGATTGACCTTTCTGAGCCACAGTGAAAAGTTTGCTCTGCAGAGCCTGCTTCAGCTGAGCTCCAGGTGTGGCCCCATTCTCTGTTTGTAGCTGCTCCTAAAGGAACAGGGGAGAAGCAGGAGATGTGGGAGGGGATGGTCACACTACCCTGACCCTGCTGGGTTTTTTGACATGGACTGTGGCAGTGAGGTTTGCGTGGTTGCTCGGGCAAGCTCCTGGCTGTTCAGCCAAGATGCCATTCCTTGGCTCCAGGGTTAAAGGTCAGACAGCCAATGCTTCATTGAGCAGCCAGGGAAAGTCTCATCCAGGGAAATTCATTAAAATGAGGAGCCAATTACTTGGAGGGAAGCTTTGTGTGTTGGTGTCAGATGTGCTGGGGAGACCTGACATTAAATTTCACATTTTCCTTAGTTTTGCTTCCATTGTGCTGATCCTGGCACCTTCCACCTCACTCCAGCTCTGCAGCTAGCCAGCATGGGAGGTGGTGGATCCTGCTTTAGGCTCCAGTAACAGTTGGACCCCTGAGCTCTGTGGAGCATCTGGATTGCAGCAGGAATTCAGTGGTCCCAGGGGGGCTTTGGGGTGTGACTGGCACATGGGGGAGGATCCATAAAGAGAAACTTCACTGCAGGGGAGGGAAGAGGAGCTCTCATCCCGAGTGGCAAATAATGACAATTAAAGTAAATCACCAATATCCTGTGAATGTGGCAGAGGAGCATCTAAGTGGAAAAATAAATATTGGGGTGTGAAGAGTTTTGAAGAATACAGACATTATAGAAATGGGGAGAGGGGAACAGTGGAGCCACACTATTGCTGCCTCCAGAAACTTTTGCAACTTCCCAACATAAAAACCTTTTGAGTTCATTGAGGTTGAATTCAGCTGCACATATTAGAATGTTCAGCTATCATGCAGCACTTGCTTTCTCATGCTCCAGGATAAATACCTGTTTTTAGCACAGATGATGCAAATTTTAAATAAATGCAAGCAGACGTGTCCCCGGTTTTTTGCTGCAAGCACAGTGAAATGCCAAGGTTAAAGCAGTTTGCATTTGAATTGTTTCTGACACTGATATGTGACAAATGCCTCGTGGTGTAATTGTGTGTAAACTGATATTAATGTGCAGTCTGCAGCTGAGAAAATGAATATATACACATGATATACTCTTAATTTCCTTGTCAAACAATTACTGTAAACCCGTTCCAAACTCTGCATGTTTTTTAAAATTTAAAACAAGGAGAAAACAAGAAATGTTAACCAAGTTCGTTACACTTTGGATGAGGGTGTGTCTTTGATAAGATGATTTTATTTCCAGCCAGTGAGTGCATCTGACTCCTTAGGAACAACGAGAGCCCTCTGGGTTATGGAGATGGAATTACCTGAACATCAGGAGCCATTTGTCCAAGGATGTCTGGCAGCTGGGTCTCTGCAACTGGCCTTGAAATCCAGGATTCTAATGGGAATAACTGCAATCTCACCTGTGTTAGGTGTTACCCTAAATGTGCAGGCTGAGACCTGCTTTTAGAAATCATCTAAATCAAGATTTTGCTTTTTGGGTGTGAGCACACTCTTTCTGTTTTCAGTCTCCTGGATATTTTGGATGACAGAGGGGAACGTACATTCCTGTTACTGGAGGTTTAACTACGTATTTCTTTCCTTGCTAACTAATTTTCTTCATTTTTACCATATTTTATTCTGTTATGTTTTAGGTTGACCTTGACCACATGAACTAAAAGATGGTGCTGAAGTCCAATATGACACAAGAAGTTGGTGTATTTATTTATTTTTTTTTTTGGCGGGGTGGGGGGGAATGTAGACAAGCTGACTCCTGATGAGGTCCCATATTAATGATTTACAGGCAAAACTCCAGAGTTTAAAGGAGTGGGAATAAACGAAGCTAGTGAGATCTGCAGAGATGTCTGACAAGCCAGTGTGCATTGCAGATTTTGAGGAGTATGCTAAAACCTTTCTGCCCAAGTCCGTGTACGATTATTACCGATCTGGGGCGGATGACCAGGAAACCCTGGCAGATAATGTCGCAGCGTTTTCCAGGTGGGAGGATGATTGAAGGCTGGGGTGGGAGGCAGGGGGTGTAAGTTCTGCTTTATTGGTAGATGTGGTGCAATTTTAGATTTTTCTCTGTGAACAAAACTCAATTTCTCTGCAATGTCTTTCTATTTTAGCAAAAAGACTCTCAGCTGATTTTTCAGGACAACTCTCTCCCCTTTCACTCCTCCACCTAACAATTTCTGTCAAAAAGCAGTCCCTAAAATCCATTAGCACCTTTTTAGTTTTGCCTTCATTTGGGTTCTTTTGTTAGCAGAAATTCTCTCCAGAATCTTTCAGTTCCAGTATTTAATCAGCCAATGAAACTGTCATTTCTGCATCTTGGGTTACAGTGCCAGCAAGGGGTTCTTGGGGTGGCATTGTACTTTTTAGGTCCTTAGTCAGTTTTGCTTTTTCCTTAGTTCTCCTAAACTGAATTAGTGCTGTGGCCTTCCCAGGTGAGAGCAGGAAGGAGTTGCATTTCCCAGCTCTGGGGCGAGCTGGGAAAGCCAGGGCTCAGTCCTGGGTGGCCCAGGTGTGCTCAGGGGTTTCTAGGAGGTCAGCCCTTCACCAGGAGATACTGTAAATGCTGGGAGCTGTTCTAAACCAGTTTTGACTTGGACTGATCCCCTGAATTGTTGTAAAAACCTGGGCTCAGGTTGGCCTTAGCCTCAGAAACACAAGGTCAGCACAAAGTCAGGGGCATGTGCTGTGGGATTCAGTGGAAGTGTCACAAATGGCATCACATCAGTTGGCTCCCTCCTCCTGAATGTCCCTGAGCAGGGCAGGGGGAAGGAGGCAGCTGGAGGCAGCTCCCCTCAGCCCAGCTGAGCCCAGTCAAGCTGCTCAAACTGCTGCTGACAGCTCCTTCCTTCTGGGCTGTGTTGGTGCAGACGTTTAACCCCCTGCACTTGTCTTTGCAAAGGCTTTGTCTTTAGTTCCTCTGAGCCTAACAAACCAAACCATGATTGTCCTGCTTTATCCTTGCTCTTTCTCCCTCCCTGCTTTGCTTTCCTGCAGTCCTACTCACTGCTCTAGTTGCTTTTCCATAAGCTATGGGCCATTCAGCTGGGAATGTGATGCAAGCTGAAGGTTCTAGAAGTCTCTGTGATAATTCATTTAGCAGGATCTCAGAGGTCAGAACCTTAATTTTAAGGTCACACATAGAAAAGCTTTATGATGTCAAGAGAAGACAACTCACCTCCACTGCTTATTCCAGACCTCCTAGCTCCATGCAGAAGCTGCCATCACAGAAATTCCCCTGCTCAAACACAAGCCAAAAGATTGCCCTGAGGCATGTAACAGAAGCAGGAGGGGATACAGTAGCACTCACCTGATTTTTATTGTACCTTTTTAATGCTTCCAGATGCTCTGATGCTACTTGCCCTCATAAAAACAAAATGAGACATTAAGGGAAGGACACTCCAAGGAAGCACTTGCAGGCAATAAACTGCAGGAGCAGTGAACATTTGACTTGTAAGTGCTGAAGCTGATCATGATGAGGTGGGATCTAAAGCTGCCAGGGACAGGCCAACAAAGAGCTGGGCACGTCCTTGCTGTGCTGGCATCAGCAGAGCAGGGGAGATAAGGGCAGCTCTGCTCTGAAGCTGTTCCTGCCACAGGGATGGTTTCCTCTGATAAGAGACCTCCTTACATCGAGCTGGTTGCTGGTTGTCTCTGGGCTTCAGGCTTACCTCATCTTTCCTGAATCTTCTATCAGATTTTCAAGAAAACCCTCCAGGTTTAGGTGTTTGAAACTGTGGCGTTTGCAGGCAGCCTGGGACTGAAGGAGATGTTGATTAGCAATGCCTGAGACGTTAAAAGAATTCAGTGGCATTTGGTGTGGCTGAAAATCTCTCAGTGCTGGGTCCCTGCTCCTCAGCAGAGTGAGCATGGAGGGGCTGGGAGGTGTTTGTGTCTTTGCTCTCCCTCCCTTTGTATTTATCTGACATAAAACAAGATCCCATTTTCTCAGCACGTGGGATGCTGCCATGAACAGTCCTTAGACCATGTTTGCAATGGCTTCCTGGGAATACATCTCTAAAAGTTAGAACCTGCTATAAGGTCTTGCCAATATTTTGGTTTGTAAGGCCTATTTGACAGAAAGAACTTGGAAAAACCCTTCTTTTTCCCTTGGATGCTGTTGGGAGAAGCATGGCCCAGCTGTTACAGATGGGGCAGTGCTTCTCACTCTGACCCTCACCCAGTCCTGGTGTTCCTGCCTGTTCCTGACTGCAGCTTGTGGGTAAATATAAAGTCAGATGGACTTTACACCCCCGAGGCACAAAGATCACCAAGTCAGATAATTTTGTGAAAGATAGGAGTATGTTCAGCTTTGTTTGCATTGATTTCCCCTGTCAGAATCTTAGTTGCAGAGTTCAGTCTGATTTAGAAAGTTTGCAGATTATGAGATATTTATAAATTTAAATAGAAGAGAAAGCACAAAACTGAACCAGAAGCAGGAATGGCTAGCCTGTACCTTTATGGTGCAGGATTTTTCAGGTGAGGTGTGAGGGTGGAAAACCAGTGCTGGGCTCATCTGCGAGTGCTTTCTAATTTTTTTGGCAAACAAATGTTTTCATTTCTGGAGAAATAATGATCTTATTAAGGACTAGTATTACTACTGTCATTAAGAACAGTCCCTAATGGGTGGTTGTGTTGCTGGGTCCTGCATTATCTTTGGAATACCCCATGCAATTTTTGGAGCAGCAAAATTCATACTCATTGGATTACAAAAGGAATGTCTTGGCTTTTTGACCTTGAGGTGCTTTGTGTAATCAGATCCCAGAGTACAAACTGCCTCCACAAGGACATTGTTTAAGGTGAGTTTAACACCAGGTACAGCAACTCTCCCCCAGCTGCCAGCTCTTCTGGGACTGAGGGAAGAACCTGCGCTCGGATGTTGACATCCGTGTGTTCCTGCTGAGGCCAGACAAGTATTTCTTATTAATAGTTCCCAAATGGCCCTGGCAGAAGTGAGGCATTAAGGCCAGAAAGGATGATTTGGGATGGCAGAGCTTGTCATTGCCTGTGGTGCCTGCCTGCCTTCTCCTTGAGTTTGCTCTGCATCCTGGAATGCCCAGTGTCCTCTCAGGCCTGTCTGGAGCTGGAATCCCCTCTCGAGCTGCCACAGGAGCGAGGGGCCTGAATGGAGATTTTTGTGACAAGGTCGGGCTGCCTTTAGCTCGATGGCATTCAGGAAATCAGTCTGGAGCCTCCCCTCTTGGCATGCCAGGCAGGGGGGATGTGGAGCAGGCTCCTGCTGATCCACCCTGCCGCGGAATTCCCGGAGGCCCTGGGAGAAGCTGCCTTGTTCTGTCCTGTGCAGGGAACAGCAGCTGCTGCTTCAGCAGTGCCAGCATCAATGCAGGCTGTCTGCAAACGTGCTGGTACCTTGTAGCAATTAAAGGCATTAAAATGGCCACAGAAGTAAGTTAAACACTGGTCAGAAAAGCAAGGCTGATGGTGGACTGGGTCAGACAAGTCTGGAAAGTTCAGGGGGAGAAAAGGAAAGGGATGCTTGGAATAATAATTTAGTTTTGTTGTTGTGATGTCTTTCACCTCAGATTCCCAGTGCACCACGAAAAGAGCGTGGATGGCAAAACATGCTGGGAGGGAAGATAACTTTCCCCAAGGAAAAGCAGCTGTTGCTTAGCCTGGCACAGCACCAGCCCCTGAAGGGAAGTGGAGCTGTAGCAGACAGAAGGGCAGCAAACTGGGCTGGGTTTAGGATGGAGGCTCGGCCTGAGCAGTGTGTCTTTTCCCAAATGTCCTTCTTGCCCTGCAGCACGAGGGGATTTGGGACAGGAACAAGAGGAGCTGCTTGAAAATACGGTGCAGTTTGAAAATGTCAATATTTTTCCCAGCTGAAAGCAGCCAGTGCTTCTCTCTTACCCCACTGCAAGGTAACTTACAAACCGAAAATTTTTTGAGCCTGGAGAAAAAAGGAAAGAACCCAAAAGATTAATCCCCCTTCCTTCCCTTTAATCCTTCCTTCAAAACAGCTCTTAGCTGAAGCTGCCTAAATTGGGAGCCCTCGCTGCCTTTCCTGCTGCGGCACCTCCCGCTTCCGGCTGGGAAGAAGGATGCATTCACTCTCACTTGCTGATTGCAGCACACGACTGTGGACTTGGCTGGAAAAAGATGTGGGTGATGAGGAGATGATGAATTTAAAAAAAAAAATCCAAGTTTTTTTCCAAAATATACAGGAAATGTTTCACTGAAGGACTTGGAGGAAGCAGGTGCTGTGTGCAGCAGAATGACTGTGTGCCCTGGTGGTGGGGAAATGCTGCCTGGGAGGTTTCCTTGCTGCTGTGAAGGGCATTTCCCTGTCCAGACAACGCCTGGTTTCAAGTGTCTGTCAAACTCAGAGCTGGAAACACCCGAGTTTCCAAAGCAAGAGCAGGTTTTACTGAAGGGTTATGATACCCAGGTAGTGAACCTGCTTGGTGTTTTTGTGGGAATGCTCAGTTTTGGGTCAGGAGCACTGAGTGGGTGTTGGTTGAGAGGATGTGAGCAGGGATCTCTGCTCAGGACTGCATCACTTTTCTTGCATGCACTGCTGGGAGGATTTTGGCTCCTCCTGTTTCTCTTCCCAGCCAAAAGCACCACAGGGATGTTTTACCTCTGGACTGACCCTCACAGGCTGACTGTGAGATGGCAGTGGCAGGAACCAATCTGAGAAACCAGGGGCCCGGGGAAGAGGGAGATGCTTCACATCCTTCATGCTTTTGGGTTTGACTGTACAAATGAGCAAGGTTACAAGCAGATTTTTGTTTTCTTTCTTTGCTGGGAGAAGATACCTCAGGGCAGAGTGGAAGCCTTCAGAAGGAGGGTTAGGAAAAAAAGGGGGAGAAAGAAGTCATGTTTTCTTTGTCCCACCCTCACCCATCCTCCCCTGAAAAATAACAAACTGCTACAATGGCATGAAAACAAGTGTGAGGAGATGTTCCTGCCGTGTGTGTCTTGGCACTGAGCAGCACAGCTGACTTGCACAGCCACACATCTCCTTCCAAGCATCATAACTGTCCTTCTCCTCCCTGGGGAGCACTGCCTGGAGAGCTGGCACAGCCCCAGGCCTTCAGAAAGGTGGGTCTCATCCTGGCTCTGCCCCAGGCTTTTTGGGGAAATGTCTCTTGATCTTTCTATAAAACAGATTTTGTCTTTTTCCCCCTGAATTTTCATTTTAATGCTCAAGCTCACCTCTACTCCCTGTTGGAGAGTAGCAGTGGCTCTGGTTCTCTCTCTCTGCTGGTAATTATGATATTATCAGTCTTGAGCATTCTGGTGCTGAGCAGTTGCTCAAGTTCAGCTGTATTAGACCATATATTTTTAATTCTTCTCTGTCATTACAGTCCAGGAGCCATGGGAGTCCTTTTGGAGGGAGGGAGGCCTCGGTGAGAGATCCAGGGAGGCTTTGGCCTGGCTGAGCCCACCAGAGGCAGCCCCAGGTGTTGCACCCCCTCTTGTGGCTTCTAGTGGTGGCAGTGCTGTGACAGCTCCTGGATGGTGGGGCAAGTCCCATGGCACAGGTATCCCCAGGAATGCAGTCCCCCTCATAAAACTCTGGATATTATGGTGTCTAGTTGATCCCGTTATAGGGATCATGGTCTTCTGATGCTGTTTTCCTGTGTGGGACCAAAAAAAAGGTAAATTCCTGTGTGTGCAGACACGTGGTGTCCAGCCTGGCTGCAGCAAGCTGTAATTTCAGGTTAAGTGTGATTTAGTTTGCTCTGGTTTGGAAAAGGGAGTTCCAAGCCTGCAGGCCAGGCTTGGTGTCTGTTGGTTCCCTAGTCCGTGGAAGGGATAACGGAGGCTGGCTGGTGACTTTCCCCATCTGCACACAGCTCTGCCCCGAGGCTTTCAGGGGCTGACTCTCCACGAACCTCATTCCTTTACAGCTCCTCTCTTTCCTTTCAAACGATCCCAGCCAGAAGTGTTCGAGGGGTCTTTGCCTTTTTCACCTCGCTGCTCTTCGGTCCCTGCAGGTGTTGGTCCCTGCAGGGGTGCTGCCGCAGCTCCGGACGGCACGGTGGGATTCTGTTCCAGCCCACTGACAGCAGGACAGCCTGCCCTCGCCCACCGGGAGCTGCGGATTCCCCGCGCCGCAGCCCTTCGAAACGCGGTGTGTTTGTGTGTGTGCCAGGTGGAAGCTGTACCCGCGGGTGCTCAGGGACGTGTCGGTGATGGACCTGTCCAGCCGTGTCCTGGGGCAGAGCGTCGCCGTGCCCGTGTGCGTGGCCGCCACCGCCATGCAGCGCATGGCTCACCCCCACGGAGAGACGGCCACAGCCCGAGGTGAGCGGGGAGGGACGGGGCGGGCCTGCCGGCCATCCCGGCCGGGCTCCTTGATTCTTGCCTTTCTAGCCGGCTTGATTCTTGCCTTTCCTTTTTGCCGTTTCACTCGTCTGAGTGTGGTTTCCCCTCTCCGTGAAACGGGGTGGGGGAAATGAAGGATGCAAGAGGGGAGTAATTGGTTATATATAAAATAGAAAACATCTATCTTCCTATATCCGTACATTCTGTGTAACTGTAAACATTGTCACAGCAACATTCTTCCTATTAGATAATCGACTCTAGGAATTCATCCAACTTCTCGAGGCCTTTGTTTGCCTGGCAGAAATCCTGGCTTGGAAGAGAGCTCTTTGAGAGCATCCCAGGGAAGCAGTGAGGTAAGGGCCCCTCCGGGCTAGAAGCTGCACAAAGATGTCGCCAGCACAGAGGCTGCAGCTCAAAAGGATGTCAACCAGAATTCAGATGGGGAACTGTCTCCTGCTCCTTTGAATGGCACCAAATCTGAATAAGAGGTGTGGGCTGTGCATTTCAGTGCTCCCGTGCTGAAAGGAAGAGGGTAAAAAACCTAAATAGGTGATATTTAAAAAAGAAATGATCCTCTGCATGGCTGGGTGATCAATCTGACAGCGTGTCCGTGGCCAGTGCAGCAGATCCTGGTGTGAAGCCAGTCGAGTTCCCAGCCCTGCGGTGGGAGCTGCTCTCGGTTCTCATCGCTGTGATGTGCTGCAGCACAGCTCCAGCGCCACCACAGAAAACACGCCTCTCCCATTTCACAGCATGCGTGGGGCCGCGCTTCCCCCTCCCCAGAGCTTTCCGAGGGGGCCGACGCTGGTTTCCCCGTCTGTAAGTGCCGGAACTCCCCACGCGATGGCACTCCAGCACCTCGGATGGCTTTGGGAAGGGCCTGCTGCTGTCCCAGCCTCTGGCAGCTCCCGCGGATCGCTTCTGGGCCGGGTCGCGCAGGGGGGAGGCTCTGAAACATGAAGTGCAAACATTAATGCAATGGTGGGAGCGACACTTGCAACACAAAATTCAGGATGTTTCTTAGCGAAGCTTCCCGCTGATGCTGCAGGCTGGCCACATTTTAAGGCATAAATCCTCAACGGCGTGCAAAAATAAGGCTGGGTACCACATTTGCAAACTTTAACACATGATTATTGCATTTGATGTTGCTGGGTTTTCAAGCTGGCACAGCTCGGTGTACTGGCATCATTTGTGGTGTGTGGTCCAGTAAACTTATCCATTGGAGCTGGTGAATTTTTCATTGCTTTCAAAGCATGGGCAGTATTAAAATCACACTGTCTGTATTGCATTGGCATTTGGGGCAGAAAAAAAATGGCTTTGGTTTTGTGCTGTTAGAGGAGGAGAGGGGCACTCAGTGCCAAGCTTTTGGTTTGACCTTATAAGATGACAGGAATTAGGTGTAAAGTACACATTTGGTTTAAGGGTTCTCTTAAACTTAGGACACTCGGGATCAGGGGGTTTGCCACATCCAGCTTCTGTTCCAGAGGCAGCACAGAGTTTAAGTGAGCAAACTGTTGGTTACTTTAATTCTGCTTCAGCTGCACCGGTTTGCAAAGCCAAGGAAGTCTGTGGCTTCTGCAAAGCCTGGCATGCTCCATAAGCCTGGCTTTTCTTGGCTCAGGTGTGCAGGAAGTGCTCTTTGGGGTGGTGCCTCTGCCGTGGCCATGATCCTTGAGAGGATTGCTGCCCCTTCCCAGCCAGAGCCCTGGCTCGTGTTGGGGCAGAGCAGCTCCCACGGGAGCCTCCCTGTGTGCCACGAGTCTGCCTTGAACCCCCAGGGCTAATCCTGGCTCACAGCAGCTGCCCTGCAGAGCAGGCTGGTGAGGAGAGAACGGCAGCTCCTTCCCTGAGCTCTCGGGGCTTTGAGAACAGTGCTTGAGGAGTTGTCTTGCTTGGAGCTGCTCTGCTCTCCAGGCAGGTTTGCCCTTTGCTGTAGGGTAAATGTCCCCTCTGGGGACAAGGGTGTGTCACGGTGTCCCTTAGAACTCCCTGCCCTCACAGCCTCTTGCTCTGGGGCTTGTCAGGGTTTGGGGGCTGCTGCTTCCTGAGGGATGCTGTCCCACAGCAGCCAAGCTGGTGGAGAGGGTGTGCACCTTCCCAGAACAGGGCAGGGTCCGTCAGCTCACCTGAAACACCCCTTCATGGGCAGTTCTTTTGTGTGAGCCAAAAATCTTTTCTAGGAAAAACATCCAATTGTCATTTTAAGAGTTGCTGGTGCCAGGCCAGCCAGCACAGTGGAAGTTATTCCAAAGGTTAGGTGAGCCCACTCTGAGCAGCATATACTGCAGTCATGGTCAAACCTTGCACAGCCTCAAATCCAGGTGTTGGATGTACGTGCATTCCTGCTAGCTAGACTTGAAAATAATAAATGAATATTTAAAAATGTCTCTGCAGGCTGTAATAAGGTTGCTCCTCAGTTTTCTCTGACATTTGTCTGAGTCCTTCCTTACAGAGAAAGCTCTCTTGTCCTTGAAACAATTTCATGCACCTTGGCAGTTGTCCCAGTTTTTCTAGGTCTTCCTTCAAGTATATTCCCTGGCATTTTAGTTGTAGTTCATCAGTGTATGTGGCAATTTTCCAAAGAATGGATTTTCTGTTCAGTAGAGACTGAAAAATTGGGAGGAAAATTGTTTTGGATTAACTGAAATGTTTCATTTGATCCAAAACATAATGTTTTATTTCATTTTCCTACTGGCTAATGCTTTTAGCTATAGTTCTGTTTTGAAACAAAAGTGTCAGCTCAGGAGAAAACATTTCCATTTTGAAAAGATCAACACATGACATTTTGACTTAGGTGTTTTTTTTCTCATCCTTCCCACTCCAATTTCAACCTCTTTGACTAAAAATATTTGCCAAATTCGATGAATAATCTTAGCCACTAAAGAGCAAAAGGTTGTTCTCTAAACACTTTTCAATAGAACCCTTCTGATGCTGTGGGATCTTTTTCTCTTGCTTGTCCATCAGCAGAGTCACTGTTCCTCCATGCCAAGGCATTTGTTTGCCACCCTGACTTCATGCTGTGCTTGCAAACCAACGTGATCCCCGTGTCAACAGGACTCGAGTACACTGACTCCAAGTCCTGTGCACCATCCAGCTGCTCAGCAAGAAATAGCTGAGGTTTTTTGCAACCTTAATTGATTATGAACAGATCCATAGCATTTTTTATTGACATTTGTGCTTATATTCCTGCTTATTCCATACTGCATTTAATGGGTAGTTTAAATTCCTGTTTTCACCTCACAGCAGCATTGCAGTGCCTGGCTTTTCCATGAATGGCTGAAAAGCAGGCTGAGAACCCGACTGTGTTCTTGGCCAGGTCTCTTGAGAGCTGTCACTGACAGTTGCTCAGGCTGAAGTTTTTGTGTTTGCCCTGTGCAGCTGCACTCAGACCCCTCTCCAGGCTGTGCTGACGCAGGGAGGTTTCACCAAACGGAGCACAGGAGTGCTGCCTGCAAAGCTGTTTTATTCCCCCTGTTTTAGCCCACTTTCTGGCAGCTCTGTCATTCCCACTGGAGAGGCAGCAACACCTTGGTTCCTTTGGCTCTTAACAGGTTGCTACTGTGCTTTTTCTCTTTGTGGTGCTGAGCACTGAGATTTGGGTTTCTTCTGCCCATCAGACGTGGCTGTGTCTGGAAGGAGGGATTTGGCCATTTGTTATGTTTTGTGCTCAGCCACAAGAGCAGTGGGACTTTGTACCCACCTGTTACCTCTGTGGTGATCGAAAGATGAGGCTGATTTTGAGATATGAAAATTAATGTCACTCCAGAGTCGTGGAGAGGACAATATTCACATGGGACAGCGTGGCCTGGGCTGACCTGGCCTGGATTCCCCTCAAGAGTGGCATGGCTGGGGGGCTCAGTGCTGCAAGTGTGCCCAGGCAGCCTGGCATGGCAGGCAGATCCCAGATCCATTTTGGCCACGTGTCCCTTTCCCTCTTGTACAGCTGACAAAACACATTGTGTCAGCGAGGGGATGGCAGGCATGGCTCTCACGCAGGGTTTGGTAAGGGCTGAGGGTGGAGAGGCAGACGGGGATCTCTCAGCCAAGTGTGGTTTGTCAAGAGAGCTACGTGGAGTTCTTTAAACAACTCCGTTTCTCAGGAGATGCAGCTCCAAGAACACGGCTGCTGCTCCTGAGAAATACCACTGTGCCAAAAGGACATGGTGTTGATCCCAAGGAATGTCCTTTGGCCCTTAGCTTGGGGACAGTGGATTCTCTGGATTCAGGGAAAAACGGCTGCAGTGGGGCAGTTTGACTGCTGGGCTTTGGAGATGCCCCTAAAAGGGAAATGATGGGAATTTGCCCAGCTAGAGGAAAAAAGCAGTTCCCATTCCCATAGAAGGTAACCCCGAAAAAATCTGCAAGCTTGAGCTGGGCCCCTCTCCAGTGCCCTCCCTGAAGTATTCTTCCTCTGAGCTGCCCACAGGGACAAATCCTGTACCCTTCCCAAAACACGTAAGGACTGATGCCCCACCAGATGGGGGGAGGATGCTCTGAGGCTGCAGGGTGAAAAAAGGGCTAAAAAGGGTCACTGCTCTGTTCCCCAGTGGAGCTCCCAAGTGCATCCTGTCCCATTTGTTGCTATGGAAAACACTTCAGTTGAGTTCCCCAAGAGTGAATGGCTTCCAAGTGCCAGAGGGCAGGTTTGGATTAGGGATGAGGAAGACATTCTTTAGGTTCTGTGGTGCCATGGACTTCCCCAGCTCGCTGTGTGTGCCTGCTGCTGTGCTCTCTGTGCTGTCACAGAGCCCAGCAGGGGCCTGCAGGCTGTGCAAGGGTGTCCTTTGGGCAGTGCTCAGGATTAAAGGAAGACCTGGAAAAAAACCCCATAAAAAATAAGCAACTAAAAGCAAGCATGCAATGGCATGAGGAAAGGCTGGTTTACAAAAACATCTCATGCTTAAACTCTGGCAAATGTCACTTATTGCAGCAAGAGCATCCTGTGGGGATATGGCTGTAGTAGGACTGATTTGAAATAATAAATAATTTGCAGCACCCCAAAAGTGAAGTGTAAAATATAATTGTTAGAGGAAATTAATTGCTTCTGTTTTCTTCAACTGCAGTAAAATGTGTGAGAAGTTGGAGTGTATTTTTAGAGAAACCTAACTTGAGGTAGAAAAAAACCCCAACCAAACCTGGCAGCACTTCAGGCCTCTGTATCTCATGGTTTTAGAAGTCTAGAAAGTTGTCAAAATAAGCTTTAAAATTATCAAGATCAAGGACAGATCGACCAAAACTGGAACTGGGAATTTCTAAAACCCTGGAAGATTTTGTCTGTGAACTTTGGATTTGCCTGGGTGATCTAAACTGCGTGTGTTGAGCTGGTGCTTCACCAGAGAGCTGTGAACTTTACAGGAGAGACGAGGGGAATTTTGGGAGCATGCTTGCATGAAAATGCCATAACCCCGTTTGGGATGGCTGAACTCTCATTGAACCAAACTGCTTAAACCTGATCTTAAATAAGAGAAAAGCACTATTTTCTCTGTTGCTACATGTGCAACTAAGTTGAAAGGATATTGTGGTATCCCATGATTTATATCTTCTCTTCACCAAAAATATTTTATTGTGCAGTTTCTAGCTAAATTTTTCCTTTAGCAATAGAAGTAGACGTGGGAATAAAAGGCAAAAATGGAAATAAATGGATACCTAAAGGCAGATTGAACCATAACATTTACATTTCTCCCTTATCTGATGCGAGGGTTTTGCAATTCCCGGCTTCGCAGCATTCCCGATGTAGAGGGAACTATGTCCAGCAGTTTAAAGGAGAGGAACGGGATGGTTACGAACTAGAGAGGGTTGGGTGATTGCTGCTGTATTTCCAGTGAGGGAAAACTGGCTGGTGGCCCTGGGAGGGTGTAACCAATTTGTTTGAATAAGCTGTTCATAAGTTTCCACTCCAAGAGGCTTGTAATCCTTATTTAATAAAATGTTGTCATAAAGACCACTTTTTAATTCCTCCATGGGCTGGGGATGACGTCTTGAAACAGAGGTCCATTTACATTAAAAATATGCATACTGTGGTAGACCAAGGAAAACAAGGCTTTCTATAATATTTCTGAGTTCTACAGCGCGTTTTTCCTTTATTTTACAATAAGTGACAGATTACTCCAAAAAGAATAAGCGATAGTTTCGTGAAAACACATCTGTATGAGGTTAGCCGGCGCGGAGGGTGATTTTGGGGAGGCAACGTGGCAACGTCCAAAAACGGGGAAGCCTTAAACGCTTGTATTGGAATGCTGCTGCTCCTTAGAGACTCTCTCTGCCTTCCTGCAGCCTGCCAGGCCGTGGGGACAGGGATGATGCTGAGCTCCTGGGCCACCTCGTCCATCGAGGAGGTGGCGGCGGCAGCGCCGTCCGGCCTGCGCTGGCTGCAGCTCTACGCCTACAAGGAGCGGCAGGTGACGGCCTCGCTGGTGCGGCGCGCCGAGAGAGCCGGCTACCGGGGCATCTTCCTCACCGTGGACACGCCGTACCTGGGCCGGCGCCTCGCCGACGTGCGCAACAGGTTCCGGCTGCCCCCGCACCTCAGGTACGGCTGCTGCGGGAGGGGACGGCGCTGGGGAACGGCTCTGGGGAGCTCTGCTGTGTCCGCCGGGCTGGCATCTGCTCTGGGTGGAAACAAAGCTTTCCTGGCTCTCTGCAAGCTGGGAAAGGTGCAGGGTGAGGCTGCTGAAGTAAGAGACGTGGGGTGTTGCTGTGTGCTTGTGTCAATGGGTTCTTGGCTGTCTTCAAACCTCAGCTGGGCAGAGCCCTGCTGTGATGTTGAGCTGGGATCCAAAAGGGGTCTGGACTTTGTGGCCAAAACTGCCTTCCAAAAGATGCTATGGTTCCTTCTGTTGTCCCATGACTGCTCTGGGTCCAGGGCCGTGTTACTACCGACTGCAGAGCCCCTTTTCGAGCAACTTCAGCTCTTCTTTTACTCCAATACAGAAATGCATGGCTATCAGTCTTTCTCTTCTTTTACTCCAATACAGAAACATATAGGTATCAGTCTTCCTAAATTCTGTGTGAAGGCAACTGTTACCCCACAGTGTGTTTTGGGATGCTTTCTATGTCTCAGAATTTGTGACATCATGATTGATTTCAGCACTAACTCTATTCCCTCCCCACTGCAGGGCCAGTGAGGAATTCAATTTTAACAGAGTTAAACCAGAATTTTAACCTTACAATGGTGTTTAAGGGTATTGATTTGCCTGGCCTTTTGTAAATATGAATTGATGAACTGTAGAGACTGCCCTGATAAACACATGCTGAAGTGCTGGCACAGTTCTAGCAGCCAAGGACTGGCTGGAGGAATATTTACTCGATGGGATATCCAGGACTTCAAGCTAAAAATCTTGCAAGTTCTTGCATGTAGATCTTGGTAACAACCACAGTCTACATGGCACATGTTAGAATTATTTAGAGCATGAAAATGAACACAAAACTAGACAGAGAAAAAAAGACAGCTTAATGTATTTTGAAGCAGATAAACTTTGAGGTGAGTTCTGGGTAAAAGCTAGTTTTGAATGTTATCAATGAAATTGAATTGTTCTTCCTATGTCTCTGAAGACTGCTGTGTTATACAATACACACATTGTAAGTAATGTGTACTTAGCAAGAATCTCACATCCAGAGGTTTTTCTTCATTTCCATACTGTTCAAAAGGAGGATAAGCCATGGGGCTCTGCAGGGAATCTGATTCTCTGCCTTGCTGGCACAAACCCCTCCAGAGCTTGGGTGCTGGCTCTCCCCTGTGCACTTGTACTTTCAGCTAAGAGAGGAAAGCTGACAGAGGAACCTGAACTCTGCTCTGATTTCTTTGTTAAAGTACAGTTTTAGGAGGAAGGCATCAGAAAGCAAAAAAGCCCTAATGCACCTAACGTGAAAATGTACCACCCTGGTATGTGTGTGCCCTATGTTGTAATCATGCTAGAGATCTGTGTTTGACACATTATCAATATACCCTGACCTTTAAAAAAAGATAAAATTAAGCAGTTGTTAAAATAGCTTACTTTTTAGGGGCAATAGAATTTTAAGGCCTGGGGTTGAGGAGTTCTTGAATGCAAGTCCAAGAACCCAAAGACGTTTGAGAAAAGCGGGAGAGCGTTTCTGCAGCACTTTGACCCCACCCCAAATGTATTTGTTATATTTGCCCAAATACAACAAGGTTTCGAGTGAACAGGATGAAATCACGAGAAATTGGAGTAATCCTTAAAGGTTCCAATTAATCACTGCAGATTCCCGAGTGCTGCTCGGGCCGTGCTTTGTTGCAGAGGCCGCGGTGAAACTCTCCTAGCGCGGGGCTCTGCTCATTTATGTGATAACTTTTTCTTGGCTTCGGGTTTTCAACAAAGTTTCAAAGCAACAACAAGGTGCCATTGTGCTCTGAAATGTATGTAAGGCAACATTCATCCAAGTGTTGATCTGCATTTTGCAGGCCAAGAAAAACAACAGTTATTTATATAATCTTATCCATGGTTCTGTTTTTCTCTGGGCACCCCACCCTCCACAAACCAACAGCTGAAAAGCTGGATCTTGCTGAGAGCCTGCTCCTTTCTCGTTTGCTTCTGGGCCTGGAGCTGAACAGAAAAGCCATGTGAAATGCTGTTTGTTGCAGGCATGAAATCAGCAGTGAAACCAGCCAGGTTCCATGCAAAAACACTCATGCACTTCCCAAAATGTGAAATGTGAGTATTAAATAGCCCAATGTGGAACAGGACACAGTTTCAGAAGAGCAGGGCAACTGGGACGTGGATGTGCTAGAACCTGTGAGATTTTGTTGCTGAAAAACCCAAGTAACAACAATGTTTTCACATGAGCTTCCTTTTCAGCCCTACATTTTACAAGGAAATGTACAAAAGGGACACAAGGTAAACAGGCTGGCTTGTTGGCCTTATTGGACAGATGAAAATTCTGAATTCTTTGCAAGGCTTCATGGACATCCATCTGTTTCATGGACCTTAAGAAAACTTTATTTCCTCCCTGATCCCCTATTCTTCTCATAGCTGAATTCCCTGGATTCGAAAAACAAAACCCAACCCTATTTATTTTGCTATAGAAGTCAGACTTGGGCCAGAGAAACTCGCCCCAGATTTATCACAAAACCATCACAGGACAATAGAAAGGCTTGGGTTGGACGGGACATTAGAGATCAGTGCTTGTGTTGGTTATCAAATGCTTTGTCAGCCAGAGGTTTTGGCTCACTGAGGAGTGGGATCTGACTTGCTGGGATTTGCTCGTGCTGGTTTTGCTCGTGCCCCGCGGCGCAGCAAAGCTGTAACTCAGCCATGTTGAGTGCTGGCATTCGGGACCCATTGTGACTACAGCAAATCCTCCTCGCGCTGTTCTTCTGTGTCTTTTGTCACCTTAGTTTAAAGAACTTCTCGAGCAGTGAGCTGGCATTTTCCTCGGGGAAGGACTTTGGAGACGACAGCGGGCTGGCTGTGTACGTCGCTGAGGCCATCGATGCCACCGTCAGCTGGGAGGACGTCAAGTGGCTGCGGGGGCTGACCTCGCTGCCCATCGTGCTGAAAGGGATCCTCAGGGGTGGGTAGCCCTGCTGCTTCCCAGGGGAGGGCAGGGGCAGCGCTGTCACTTCTCCTGCACCATCAGGAGCCCACCAAGGAAGGTGTCAGGTGTCTGTGGGAGAAGATGCTTAAAGAAGTGCCGGGTGTTGTCACCAACGCCACCATTAACACCATCGTGCCAGTGATTTTGCAGTGGACAAAATCATTCAGCAAAAGAATTTCTTACTGATGAGTTCTGGAACATAATAGAGAAAATAAGGGCTAGCAACCAAGTTGGCTGCTGATCCAAAGGGATAAAATGTTCTGCTCCAACATTTCAAGCTAATTTTCTGGTCTTATTACTTAAAGATAAAACCTTTTTCTGTGTTGATGAGAGGCTTGGAAGGATGAAGCCCTAAGGTGGCTTTGCATGAGGTGACAATGGTTTTCTCAGTGATTCCCTGATTGTGGTGTGTACAAGTTCCCACTTATGAGGGACACATCCTGTTTGGGTTTTTTCCTAGCTGATGATGCCAAAGAAGCTGTAAAGCTTGGGGTAAACGGGATCCTGGTGTCAAATCATGGAGCACGACAGCTTGATGGGGTCCCTGCTACAGTGAGTACTGATGCCAATATGCTCCAGTAATCTCTAATTTTCTCTGCCTTTTTGGCTTCTTGTTTGCTTTCTCTGAACATGTGGAAGCTAGAGGAAAAACCTAGAATAAGTGTTCTATGCCTTAAGCCATGAATAATAACCTCCCTCCACTTCTGTATGTATGTCACATCGTACTCTGAGTTAGACACAGCCTTTCCTTGCTAGATCAAATTGGAAAATCTTTCAGAATTTTTCTTCCACTCTCCTCTTCCACGTCTTCCTTTTCATTCATTTTTGAAAAACCCTCGTTGCCATTTGCAGCACACTGAAGGTTGTATTAGGGTCGTTTTTCCTCTTTTAATATTCTTTGGAGGCTTCTGAAAAATTGCAGTTAAGGAACAGCTAAAGGCAGAATGAAACTCTCCATTTTTCTCCTTTCAAGTATTTTCACCTTTGGAAAAGGGAGAGAGTGGTTAAATTACAGTTTTTCCTTTTCCTTGTCGTGCTACCCCATGACTTTTCCAAAGGTGAAAGGGATTTGAGAATTTCTCCGTCGGCAAAAAAGAAAGAAGTAAAGGAAAATGAAAAAGTATGTGCTCAGGATGAAGGAAAAACCCCAAAATTCCAGTCATCACTCATCTTGCTTCATTTGGTGTGGGAAAGCTGCACAAATAAAAAGAATGAAAGGGAGGGGAATCAAAGCCCAGTTGTGCCTCTCAGAGTATTTCCAATATGTTCTCGATGAAAAACCTCCTGTTCTCCATGATGGTTCCCTGAAGGGAGAGGGGAACAGGTCCTCTTGTCACCTCCTGGGAAAGTATTCCCCAATTTCACTGGGAGTGTTTGAAACTCTTGGACAAGCCTGCGTGTGAGGTAATCCAACAGCAACAATGTATAAGGTTGTTAAAAACATCATTTTGAGGAACCCCAGAGAGCTCGAGAAATACAAATTAATTTTTGACAGCCGCAGCAGAAGGGAAATTTGCAAACTCCTTGTTAGGAGTTACTCCTTTGCCACACCACAGGGCAGAGGAGAGCTGCTAAATCTGGTGTGTTCCCTGGGTTTATGGTACAAAGAACACTACTTCACAATGCCTGTTTTTATAAAGAATCTGTATCAGGTCACGTTAAATGGTTCTGATTTAGAAACATAATAATTTGCTTCAGTTTCATGGGGTTTCAGCTGGTGAGCTGAACCCAAGCTGGTCAATATTTCTAGTGTCTAGTTACGCGTTGAGGAAATCGATGTTTTAATTAAGGTTTGCATCATGCTTTAGTTGTTAGAGCACTTTAATGTTGGTACGGTTTGTCAGGATGTAGAAAGTGGTCTCTGGATATGGAAATAGATCCAAAATATGTCTGGCAAGAGAGCAAAACCAAAGGGAGGGGGAAAATCACAGCAAGTGCCAAACTTCAAGAAAATTTTAATCCAAATCTAAAAACAAAGTGCACTTTCAAGTTTTTCCCCCCATCTTCTCGTCATTTTTATCCATTAGAAAGGAAATGAATTACATCCGTATTTGAAAGATGTGAATTTGTGTGTCTTTTGTCTTACTTCCACACACTGTTTCCAGTCTCCTTAATACTTGGCTTCTGGTGGAGTTCCTTTCCTGATTTTCATGAATAGGAACTATTTAGGTGGCCTTGTAGGAAAATTTGCCCTGTAATTAATGCTCCAGGCTTGAATTCAGGAGGCTCATCCTTTCATTGGGACCTCTTGCATGGCAAGAATAATTGCTTAATTCCCTGGTTACACACTTGTTACTTCAGAACAGTAAAAGTATCTCCCCCCCCTTATTTGTATCACTGGTGTAGGGGATAAGCTGAGAAAGGGGATGAGCAGAGCTCAGTGAAAGCATCATATGTGTGCATTAAAAGAAATTACTTCCCACCTTGCTCAAAACTTAGAGGAAAGTTATTTTTTTCTCACATTAAGAAGTTTTCTCTGTAGTCATTCCTGTAATTAGATGCATTTTCAAAAGGGAAAATGCATTAATTTTAAAAATTTTCAGCCAACTCTAAGTTCTTCCAGGCATGTGTTTTTCTCACTCCTTGTCTGTAGGTACAGTGCCTGCCTCTGGGCTCCTGAGCTGGCCCTCAGGATAAATGAATGGGAAATTTAAACAGGGAAGCAAAGATGATTATTTAAAAAGTGAGCTGATCCAATTTCATCCCTTAACTAGTGAAGACTGGAAGTTTGGGAGGTAACACCATGAAAAGGCTTCCTTAGTGCTGCTGTTTCATATCTTCTGCATAAGAATCAGATACTGGCTTGTGTCAGATATGTGTCATGGGGTCAGATGGCCATTTTGTGAGACCCTGCTGATTCTCATTCTGTTTATGTGACTCTCCAAATAAATCTGACCTTTGTATGTTCCTTCTACCCTGCGAAGTCACTGCTGGTTCTCAGTACAAAGCTGTGTTATTTGGGTGTATATATTTAGGCATGCAACTGCTCATTAAGCTGCTGTAAAGCTTGGATCCTATGTGTAAGAACGGGCTCAAAAAATAAATAAGGTTTCAGGAGCAGCCAAGCTGTGTTCCTGGTTTCTCTCCCTTAGATTGATGTCTTGCCTGAAATCGTGGAGGCAGTGGAGGGGAAGGTGGAGGTGTTCCTGGATGGTGGGGTGAGAAAAGGCACGGACGTTCTCAAGGCACTGGCTCTTGGTGCCAAAGCTGTTTTCGTTGGGAGACCTGTCCTCTGGGGACTGGCTTATCAAGTAAGTGAGGGAAAGCTCAAATGCATGACTTCAGATCCCTAGACTCACTGCTCAGCCTTTTAAAATGCACATGCATGTGTCTGTGTGCCCAGAGGAGTGTGTGTGTGTGTGTGTGATGCATCTGTGTGCATCCAGATCTTCTGATTTGCTGTTTGCTAAAGTTTGCTATGACCAACCCTCAGGATTTATGTTTGTGCAGAAAACCTTTCTTGGCACACGTATACATGTCTATGTCTACACACATAAATGTGCACACAATAGTTCACATTGTCTCCTAATCTCCCAGGGTGAAGAAGGAGTAAAAGAAGTTCTCCAGATGCTGAAGGAAGAGCTTCGCCTGGCAATGGCACTGACAGGTGGGACATTGACATTTCCTCTCCGTAATCACGTTCTCTCATTTGCCCCAGGCAAGATGCTATAGCAACTTGCATGAGGGGAATGTTTGCAATCTAAACAGGTTAGTCTGTGGAGAAATGGGAAAAAGACTTGTCATCCCTGCTTTATAAATGGGAAACCGAGTAGATTAGGTGAAAACATTATTTTGGTGGGTTTTTTTTTTCACAAGAAGACCAATAAATCCATAGAAAAGTAGTGGCAAATCTTTGGTCGCTGAGGGGTGGATTTCATCTGACAGAATGGAGATTTTTATGAGGCAGAAAAAGAAAAGGCTTAGAGTGGGTTGGAAAATCAGGGGCTTGAACTGATCTGCAACTTCTCCTCCAGGATGCCGGAGAGTAGAAGAAATTGGCAGGACACTGATCAGAAGACATCAGGGATTGTTTTCCAAGATTTAGGTCTGAAGACTCTTGCCTTGTGCGTTGCCTGTTGTGCTTCCAGACAAAATCCAACTGCATTCCTTCTGTGGGCCTCCTCCTGCAATCCTGACTGAAGGATCGCTCTGCTCTGTAGGAAATCACTTGTTGAAGAAAGAACTCAAAGCAAATTTTATAGGTGCTTTCAGATCTCTCAGGCTCTTAAGGAAAGCTGCTACACTGGGAGGTGTGATTAGAGATGGGCCTTTATACAAGGCCAGCATAGAAACTTCAAGGTGTTTTGCAACAAATGCTGATAATTAATTTCCATGCCTGGGAGTAATTTAGCTGTTAAAGTGAAACTATAAACAGAAATGCTGAAATTTAAAATGCAAAAGATGCTTCTTGCTCACTGTTTAGAGAAACTAGACTGTAGATTGTAGAGATTAAATCTTGCTTTCCAATGAACAGAATGTCCTTTCCCTAGTGACTTTATAAGCATCTGGGCTTGTGGCACGTAGGCTGTAGGAGCCCAGAGGACTCTTCGTTGTAAGGAACCAAAGAGCAAAGCAAAACTGGGGAAATTCAGCAGTTTAAGTGGCACAAGCCCCTCTGCAATCAGACAGCTGTTACCTATGTGCATTGGATGCACGTCAGAGCCTTGGCTACTGCAAATCCCTCTAGCCCAAACTGTGCCAGCTGCATCCACCTGGAGCTCCGAGTCACATTTTTCACCTGGACTGATTTGCTCATAGTGGCAAGGGAAGGCTGATGCTGCCTGGGAGAGTTTGTAGAATTTGCAGCCATGTGCAAAAGGGAAACTGGAATAATTGAGGCATTAACCCATGACTTGGGAAGGGCCTAGTGGCTCTGTTGAGTTTCCATGCACACCCCTAAGTCAGATAAATCTTGGTGTTCTTCATTCTGCTCATGATGGGATCGTGCAGGATCTGTGCCTCTGTTCTCTGAACAACCCAAATATCCACTGAATTCAGGAGAAATTTTGCAACTGTAAAGAATAAAGCAGGTAAGATTATACTGTTCTCATCTTAGGGAAAACCAAGGCTAGCTCTTCACCTGTCTCATCTCCCTTGCAGGTATGGCAGTTTTACAGGGAGCAGGGAAAGGCTACACAGGTTTTGAATATCTTGCTGTGAAAATTTAATGTTCATTTTTAAAGAAGACCAAAAAAGATGAAAACCCCTTAATTTCATGGTTTCACTGAGATCACCAGCTCCACCATTTGTTTCCCATCAGCCTCGTGCATTCTGACTCTCCCGCTTTGCTCAGTTTGAAATATCCCTTACTGAGCTTTAGAGGCAGCTTTGTAATGAAATGATGGAATATTATAATGGGAACTAAAGCTGGGGCTGGAACTCGAAATGGGGAGAAAACCCAAAAGGCCACATGCTTGCCCTCCAGTTGTAAAATCTGTACTCTTATTTACTGCAGAATATGCTCTGTTGTGTGAGAGTTGCGTAGCAACAAAATAAAGTTTATCTGTGCAAGGAAATATGAATGTTTCTGAGAGAACAGAGAAACATAATTTCTGCTGTTTACTGCACTTATCATATCTGTTGCAATGTGGACTGTGTCAGATGTCAATTACAGAGTAACTTCGGCAAGACTGTTTATTTGAGATAATATAAATGTTACTTAAAAGACAGGGGCATAATATCTTATGTTTACATGTTTAAGATCTATTTCTAAAGCTCAGAAGATGCAGTTTCCTGTCTTTGCCCCAGCCAGATTCGAGGAAAGTTCTGAAACTCTGTGGTTCAGTGGAAGTTCTGATGGCGAGGAAACCGGTTTTGTTACTTGTGCGTAATTCACTGGTTCTGGTTCCTCTGGGATAAGGGGTTTACATTGTTTTTTCCTGCCTGTTGTCTGAGAATCGTCTGACTGCCTTCCAGTTCAACCCTAGTAAGACTAGACAAGCATTAAAAACCAAAATTAGAGCCAAATACTTAAAGGCTGTGAGACTGTTAACAGAAAGTAAATTCATTTGTCTGGTAGAATTCTCTTTTCAAAATACCCCAGAGTGAAGAGAATTTCTTTTGATCTTAAGACAGCCAAACACAACTACTTTTTGAAATTATTAAATTAAAAAAAAAAAAAAAAGGCAGGAATTCTGTTTGGTTTGGGTTAAAAAGCAGAAAGACTGAGTGCCCTCAACCATTTTAAAAACTGAACAATGTCCAGGCTAAGGAAAAAATCTATCTCCACACTTGCTTCATTCTGGAGAAGCTGAGAGAAAACCAGAGCACACAGGTGATAGTAGATCTTTCTATGGTTTGTGAGAGTGTTTCTGAAGAGAATGTAAGTAATGTAACAAAAAAACCCAGGTCTTTGTGAAAGAGGTAAGTAGAAAATTATTTGTCTTAAGTATAAATGAACACAACAAACTTTTAGGAACAATTAGTCATAGTCCTTATATGAAGGCACAGAAGTAGAGGAGAGCAGAAGTGTTTTGCATTTATGATGCTTTAGTGTAACTGCCTAGCCAAATGTCAAATAACAAACATGATGGGTTAAACAGCAAAATGATTTTCTGGCTTCACTTGGACTCCATATGAAGTCACAAATACAAAGAAAAAATTATCTACGTAGAAAAAACCTAATAAGGGGAGATCAGTGAGTGATATTTCAGTACCCAGAAAGACAGCACTCAGCTGAGTACTGAGAAAAATCCCAGCTGGTTTGGGAGGCTGGTGAATGATCAGTGGCTGAGTGGGGCTCTCTAACCACCTCCCAAGATGGACCAGGAACATTCCCTGGAAAAGGAGATCGCGGCTCTTAATGCAAAAATTTATCACATGTTGTGTGATGAGAGAAGAGACCAAAAGCAAAACCTGGGGGTATGAAGGAGGAGGATGATCCTGTGCTTTTCAGAAGCAAGTGGTACTTCCCATGAGGTTCAGATGTGAGGCAGGCCCTTACATCCTGGTGTTTCATGTTCAGCCTGTGTGTGGAGTTCGCTGCTGCTGGCAGTTCAGAAGTTTCCCTTTTTGGAAGCATTGCCACAAAGTTGTCTCCAGTGAGCTCCTGGAGGATTAAACCCACTGAAGAGTGTGTAGGAGAGGGCAGCATTCTCCACAGGATATGCAGAAACCACTTGGGAGGTTTGGAGAGGCTTCAGCCCCATTTTGGGATCTCGACAACGGAGATCAAGACATGCATTTTTAGCACTAAGTTCTAAAGAAATCAACCTGTTTCAAAGTGGTGAGGTCAGTGAAAAAGCCCATGATGTTTTCTGGACAGCTGATCACATCAAGGCTGGAGAAGCAGGAAGTAGGATTCTCCTAAGAAAAAAAACCCAGTATCCTTCTGGAAAAGCCCACCTTGAGCAGGTTTGGCTGTGCTGGGAACATCTTTGCCATGAGAGTCTGGCAGTTTAACTCAGCAGAGGAGAGCACAGGGCTGTGGGCTGGCTCAGCAGATGGCAGGAGTCAGCTGAGGGCTGTGGGAACATCTGACCTTTCAGATCAAACTGAGGAGGAGGAGAAGGTTACTGCAGCTTCAGGACAGATTTTCCTCTCTCTCTCACTTGCCTGTCAGTCCTTTGAAGCAGAGACCTGCTGCTTTTCGAATGTTTGGAGCGTGCACATAGGGTGGAGAATCCAGTAAGTAAATAATAGGAGTCATAATTCAGTGCACTGAAGCTGAGGAGCTGTGAAAGACATGATCTGTTTTCTTGTGACCTCCACCTCTCGCCGTGACTCCGGGACACGTTATTGTGTTTTATTTGCACTAGTGGCCAAGTCAAACAAATAGCTCTGGAACTGGTAAGGACTCCACCTCCATTCCCCAATTTTTCAGGTTGAGCATGAAACTTGTCTGTCTTACTGGGAATTTCTGAACATAAATAAACAGACACTTAGAGTAACTCGCCTTGATAAATGGGCAGTGTAGGTTGAGGCCTGCTGGATATGCAGGCAACTCAAAGATGAAGCAGAGCTGGGGAAGTAGGCAGGAATGGCTCTGCTTTTCTTGGCTTCTCAAATGGTTTTCAGGCTGAAATCAAATACTTGAGTGCATGAGGAAAGCTGGCTTCTGAAGTCATGATTTTGCACTGAACCTCACTGTAAGGATATCTCTTATAAAGCTACTTTTGATGTGGAAATTTGGCTCCAAACCACACTGAAGGCCATTATAAATAACCACTTCATCACAGGACACACAGAAGTTGGCTTCCTTGAACACTCCTAGAAAGCAAGCCTAACCTTATTGAGCCGTAACCTCAGCTAGTGTAAATCAGAGAAGCTCCATTGACTTCATTAGTTTATACTGATTTACACCAGCTGTGACTGCAGCCCACAATACAGCAAGATATGTCAGCTTTTAAATTCTGTCACTGGGTGTTGAACAAAACTGGTTTTAAAACAAGACTGGCAATCCCAGATTTAGATCCTAATGAGATGCAGCATTGTAATTGTTTCACGATGCTTATGTGCTCCATTTTGTTTTCATTTTTGCATTGCTTCTGTTTTTCTTATCTCCTGCCAAACAGAGGAAGAGTACCACATATGTTACATTCATAACAAAGATGTTTTGCTGCATTGAGAACACGTCCTCCAGATGCAAAATGCCTTTGTGCTGTAGCTCAGCTTCTTCCTTTGCATAGGTACGTGGGTTATGTGCCAGCACAAGAACGCCCTTGAGGGCAGCCCTGTGTTTCCCCAGGGCCTGGAGCTCTGGAAAGGGGCACCCAGAGGCTGTCCCAAGGGAACTTCAAAGGTCTGATTCCCCCTTAGGGATTTCCAGCTCCTAAGGTGGCTCATTTCAGATGGACAGGATGAATTGTGCCCGAGAGCACCCTGATAGGACCACCCTGAGACCATCAATACTCTGTCACAGTCCTGCAGGGTGCTCAGGTAATTATCCACACTGAGTAATCAACTGGCACCTCTGTGGTGTGGAAGGCTGGGAGGTGCATACAGATGGATTATTCAGCCAAAGGGAAGACATTCATATAACCAGACTGACAGTGATTAATACTGGTTATTACTTTATGACAGTAGCAGCTGTAACTTCCAGTCCAAGCCAAGGCAGGGCTGTGCACTGCAGAGATGCTTTTCTGCAGGCAGCAGTCTCTGCTCAGCAGAGTCAGAAGGATAAACTGACAGGCAGAGGTAGAGAAAGCCTCTCTCTAAAATGGGGGCAGAAAAGAACTGATTCCCCCAGCTAACTCCCTTAACTTTCCCTTCCACTACCTTAATTCACTGCTCTCCCTAAGGCAGGTAACTCTGGGGTGGACAACACACGCCACAAATACTGAACAACCACGGGGAAGGTCCATGGGCAAACAGAGCTGAGGTGCTTCAGGAGAACTGAAGGTAGTGGATTTTAAACACTTAGTTGTCGTTATAAAGGTTCCTGCAAAGCAGGTATTCAGTAAGGTCTATTTCATGTGAGATGAGTCTCATGTTTGAGAACGGTCACCAAGACTTCAAAGGAAGGTGTGAAGACCCTACAACAAGGTGACATGGCATAAACTCAGCTGTACAGGAATTCAGGATGGGCATTGTGCACATCTCTACTCTAGGGCCAGCAAATTAGTTCAGCATGTTCTGTTACTGGACCCAGAAACCCAGCATGGGTGTGAGATGAACAATCCTCCTAACAGGTGAGACCTGAATGCTGATCAGAGATGGGAATTCAAACAGCAGGGTCATCTCCCATATCTAAGCTTGCTTCCTCTGGGTCTGTACAGATATTCTATCAAAGAGAGAGGCTGAAGAGTGTAGGAGGGGGTCTCTGTTATAATTTTAATCCAAATTGTCACTGACTTAGGAGTTACATGTCTGCAGCCTTCCCATTAGATAGTTAAGAGCAGCAAAAATTACTGAATTTGGTATAAATTCCTTTTGGCAAGCTTAGGTCTCTACCCAAGAACCTGGAAGAACTAAAGAAGTGCTCTTCATGCAAGAAACTCCACTGGCAAGCTCTTTGAAAGAGTTACAAACAGAGAAATGTATTTTAGGAAAGGGGAACTTGTGCTTTCCTGAGACTGTGACCAACAGAATATATCTGCAATTAAAGAGTAAGAGTTGGCACTAATCCACCTCATTTCCTTACTGCCTGCTGGTGTGTTTGTTCCACAGCTCCTAATGCATGGAGCTGGACTGGGGGCTGTGGCTCTGCACCTCACTGCATGCTGCAGGTTTTCTGCCGTGCCCACAGCTGTGATGTCCTTGGGTGGGATCCCACAGGGAACCTGGGAAGGGAAGGATGGCTGGCACTTCTGGGCAGAGTGTTTGTCCTTTGGAAATAGTTGGACATGAGGTATGGACAGCTGTGAGTGTTACTGGGGTGTTTTTGGTGAGAAGGTAAGAGCTCATTTTCATTTTTCAGGAGTCCCCTCCCTGGGATTAAAGATGAAGGTTTGCCAGATGGGACAAGGGACCTGCTTAGGTGGGATTTTGGTGGCCTGTGGTGCTTCAGCAGCACTTTATGTCAGCAGAGAAAGCACTGAGTCTTGTGGCAGAGAAACCCAGTCCCTGGTTCCCATACACCATCACTCAGTCCATCTTTTGTGAACAGAAAGATGAACAGTCCCAGTACAAGACATGCACACTTTAATATAAAATAACCCAAATAGACCATGATCTCTGTACCTCACTCTCCATGTTATTTATGCACAAACTATACCTTAAACAGATTTTGTCTCCCAACCTTTGCTTTTTGTGTGCTAGCAGGCTGACAGACATCTCTGATAGCTCCAGCTCCAGTTTGTGTTCTGGTTATTCAGTGCTGCCAGAGACACTGGGATGACCTCCTGGCATCATTGACAGTCCTTCTCCTGTGGGTCTAGGGACAGACACTCACAAGTAGTTATGTGTAGCTTTGTAACTGC